GCGGGGGATGTGGGCGCCCAGGCCGCCGCCTCCCGCCGCCGCGGGGGATTACTCAGCAGCCGCCCGCGCGCTCCTCCCGCGCCCTCCGAGACACCCGGCTCGCGCGGGCTCCGAAACGGATCCGTTTCCGGGTATCTCTAACCCCGCGGAGCCGGGGCCCGAGCGGCCGCCGCCCCCGCTTCCTGCAGCCCCAGCGCCCGAGTCCCCACACCGCGCCCCTCGCCCAGCCGTCCGAGGCCAGCGCGCCGAGCCTGCTCGGATAGGCGCGAGCCCCGGACCTTGGACCCCCTCCTCCAAAAGGGCCGGACCGGGGGCGGCGGGGAAGCCGGAGAGGGCAAGCGGGTTGAAGAGGGGACGGGGAACTCCGCCTGGGCTGCAGCGAAAGCGCGTGGCGGGAGACCAGGTGGCCGCAACCAGCGCGCGGCGCTTTCGCCACGAGTGCCTGAAACCCCACGCAGCCAGCGCCGGCGACCCCAACTTCATCCGGACCTTGGGGCCGCCCACTAGCCGGTGGCAGCCAATCCCCGGGGAGGTGCGCGGCGCGGGGCCGGGTCCCCGGGTACCTGCCGGACAGCTGCCCAAAGCCCAGCGCTGAACAGCTGGATGGGAGAGCTCCTGGATCCGGCATCCACCCCCTCCGGCCCGCTACCAACATTTGCGCCATGGGGCGAGAGGACAAACGGAGTCCCATATGGCATATACCTAAATATTTAAAAGTTATAAATTAAGCTGTTCAAGTGCGTTCTAGTCTTACCCTGACAATTATACTTTCATATCAATGAAATAGAAAAATAAGTGAAAGCTATGGTTTTCATATGACGGAATATCAGCAAAATGTCAAAGATGACTAAATTTAGTCATTATTGGGGTGTGTCTGACTGTTCCGGTGATGTCTAGGGCAGATATTATGTAGACAAACAATTCATAAATCATTTTTATGTTTTTCCTTAAATTTACTTTTCTCACCTTTATTTTAGCAAAATCACTAAATATATTCTTACAATCAAGATTATGTTCTTAATGTCAAATTAAACCACCTTTCTTAAATCACTGTAGTTTTTAGTGTAGTTTATTAATTTCAATTTGGAGAAACTTTGCGAAGCATTTATCACTGAAATTGTTTTAAAAGTAAAGCGATATTCAGCTTTCGAGATAACCCATGAATTTTAAATATCACTTCCAGCTTTATAATGGGATCAATATAATAATCACAGAAAATATTACAAAATAATATAATTTCATCATATAAGTTGCTATCTCTTCTTTTGTGATTTGTGCCATCCCTTACACAAGTATCTAAATCTATACAGTATTCCCAACATTCATATATACAAATTTAAGAGTAATGTGACTTGCTGTCACTCCCTAGCTGTCATGTGTAACTGTTAAAATACCGTGTTAATTCTTGAGTACATCTGAAGCCACAAATTGGAACACCAAAAGAAGCAAGAAAATGGATGATTCTCACCTCTGGGAAACAATCCTTTGTGATGCAAGAATTGTTGCATTCATGCGATCTGCAAAGGATCTGACAAGTTGACCAATTTTTTTACGCAAACACTCTTGGATTTAAAACAGTGTTAGTCTCAAGCATCAGCAGTGCCACAGACCTTCATTGCATTCAGAGGCTGTAACTTGTCTTTAGGAGACTGAGCAAGAGACGAGTAGCATTTCTCTGGAGTCTGAACAGTGTTAATCAGGAGAATGGATACTGAGGGTCATAAGTTCCACTGACCCAACATTGAGTGCCAGATCCCAAGTGACAGAGGTGCCCTTGCGTTCTTTAATGAATTTCTGTGTGTGTGTTTTAATAGGCAGGGCCTTCTAACACAAGGCTTAGGTTCTGTACTGGCCATGTGGCTCACATGGGCTCTTGCCAGAGAGGGGCCTCTGGCCACACGTTTCCAGTGGTGACAGGAGCTGACAACTTGCCCAGCACTTACAAGCTGCCTGAACTTTGGATCTGTGGAGCCACTCACCCGCAAATCCCTGACACAATCTAGTCAACAAGGAAGGAAAGCTAAGAGAGCAATACCAGACTTAGCAGAGAGCTGGTACTCCCACAATACCAGACTTAGCAGAAAGCTGGTACTCCCACAGCTAAAGGAGGCAGTCAGGCAGTTCTCTATGTCCCTATTACTAAGGAGAGGAAAAAATGTCAAGGAATTGATGGCACCCCGGGCATTGTTGACAAGTTGTACCTGGGGCCCTGCAGCTGAGGATGGGGGGTGGGGAGCAAAATCAAAGCAGTCTGTGTGGGGCTAGATCTGTCTCAAGAGCCTGGCACAACTGGTTATGAAGACTTAGTGAAATTTAACTGTTGAAATTTATCTATTAACTTTGATTGGCCTCATTGTGGCCAGTGCTCATTCTTGAACCAATCAATGTGGTGAGGAGGGGTGGCTCATTATGATTGGGTTAAGCCAATCAAAGCCTGCTCCAGGGGCAAGGTACAGAGCAACTGCCCGGCACCCTGTCATAGGCAGGGGAGGGGTGATATGGATAGAGGATAAGTAGGCCATGTAATATACACCAGATATGTGCCAAATTGGATTTAACCAGATACCGAAACAATTAGATTAGCAGCAGCATCATGAAGGGACATTTTCAAATATTTGCTCTGTGATGAAGGATACAAAGAGGATTCAAAATGGGCCCCACAGTCCTGAAGATAGACAACATGTGGACCAGTAATCATGCTTATGGCAGCTGGAGTTGGCACTGACACCTGCCCAAGGCTCACCTAGCAGGTGGGGAATTAAGGCTGATTGTGTTTTCTTCACTAGATAATCATAGAGGTAATGATGGATATTTAAGAGGTCATGGTGTATAGTACCTACAGAAGGAGGGAAAATCTAGATTACTAACACATTGGAGCACCATACACTTGACATTGTGAGATTCTCAGCGCCCCCCTGCAGAACTAATGCGGTCTTCAGGCAACTGGCTTCAGCCTAACAGGATTTCCCCCAAGCATTTCCTTTGAAAGGAAAGAGGAGGAAGGGGAGAAGAAAAGAAAAGCTCTCAAGTGGAGGAAAGAACTATTTCCTTTCTACACACCTCTTGTGGGTATTGTCAGTATTCTGTGGTTCTTCATGAGATTTCATTATGAAAATGAAACTCCAAGTCCAAATGGTCAGTGAAAAGTTTTAGACATATGTATTACCTTTTATTTGGTAGATTTTTTTATAAGTTAAGATGTCCAGGTTGCAAGTAACAGAAAAACCTGACCCAAATTGGCTCAGAAAAGGAAATTTATCGATTCATGAAGGAGGTTTCCCATAATGAGACTGCATAGGGCTGTAACACTGTGACTGGAGCCCGGTTTCTCCACCTCTCCACCTCTCCATCGGCCACTCTGGTGCTTGGTAGCTCTACTCTCAGACAGCCTTACTCTCTTAGTCCCAAAACAGTTGGAAGCTCCCAGGGCCACCTGCTTGCCCCTTCACATCCAGTTGGAAGGCATTGCTTCTCCAATGCTTAATCAAAAATCCCCTAATTGAATCTCATTGGCTTTGATTGGCCTGATTGTGGCCAGTGCTCATTCTTGAACCAGTCAATGTGGTGAGGAGGGTGGCTCATTATGATTGGGTTAAGCCAATCAGAGCCTGCTCCAGGACCTAGGAGGTAGAACAAATTCCACCTAAACTCCATGGCTGGGAAATTCCAGGTCTATTAGGAAAAGGGATGTAGGGAATGGATGTCAGAGAGACAACCAATAAACATCCCCTACCCTTGTCTTCCTAAACGTATTTTGAGTTTTTGGAATTACATTTTAAATGCATTTAACGAATATACTACCTTAAGAAACCCTTGTTGTGTGTGCTTAGGTTATGTTAAAATTTTTTAATAATGCTAATAATGATGCCTTAATGTACCTTTTTGTAAATCTGCACTACCAGTTGAAATAAATACAGGTTCCCAGAATGTCTGGAATTCTAAAAAGGAGGAGAGCAGGGAAATTAGTGTCACTCCATTTTCATGTTACCCTAGCTTTGCTATCAAACTCAGCCCTTTTACTCTGCTGAAGGTGAGGGAAGATATCATTAACTGCTTTTAATTAGAAGGCAAATCAGGTTAAGGTTGATATGGAAAACTGTACAGCAGGTTCCTTCTTTTCTGCTCACAGGTGGGACACTAGCTGGCCTCCAAGGAGGGGAGCACGTGGTGGACCCATGGAGGTCCACCTGGCTGTCTTTCCAGCGGGATTGATGTCTCCTACAGGACACTCATGCTGCCCTGGAGACCACAGCGGTGACCATGGAGCAGGAAAACGCCCCCTTCAGATTGGAGACCTCCTCATCTGCTTTCCCCCAAACCGAATACCCAATGGACACAATATAGGTTTAAGCAGGTGTTTAGATCATTGTTCTGCTGCTGTACAGATTCAGGGGCAAGACTGGGGAAGAAGGCGTTATGTCCCTTACCCCATTGTTGTCTAACCCCTGGGGAGCTCAAGCAGTGAGGCCTCCTGCCCAAGTCCTTGATGGGGTGTGTCTGTGAGTGGGAATACAGCCCTCTCTTGGTCTTCAGAGGGTCTCTCTCTTGCACTCTCTTTCTCTCTCCTCTCCCATTGCTTTTGCCTTTCTTCCTGCATCCCTTCCCTTTAACCTGTCTCTTTGCTTTTCACTGATACCTGCAGTTCCTCAGATCTACCTCCTCCTCACAGCAGTAACCAAGTCTCCCTCCCCTGGTCCCTTTTCATGATTTGCACATTTTGCAGCCTCTGGTGAGTGTCTGTGACTTCTCTGTCCACTGACTGTTGCTCTGTAGAGGGAGAGATTGTCTCTGGTTTCAAGGTCTGGGTCTGCTGAGTCTCTGGGGAGGGAAGCAGATGAGCTGTGGTCCTGCAGA